GAACAATTATTATAATAATAATAATAATAATAATTATTATTATTATTATTATTATTATTATTGTTGTTGTTGTTGTTACAGAAACTTTAAACAATATAATCTATATGAATTAATGTAAAAGCATAAATTTGTTCCTAAATAGAACACAATCATAAAATAAGATGCACACAGACTATGAATTTAAATATAAGATATATGATTCAACTATATTATGTTCAATTTACAAAATTATTATAAAAAATTTAATTCATTACAAAAACATCATCCAAAAAACATTGAAAATATCGCACAATTACAAAAATAGCACTGAATTTTATTTATTTTACAAATATTAATCAAAACCACATTTTATTTTAATGATAATACAGAGAAAGAATGCTTTACAATAATAGTTTCAAAAAACAGTTCATCATGAGTGGATTTCCCGCACGATTAAAAACCGTAACGGTACTGGGTTTGGTCAACAGGAGTTCGTGCTCCGAACAGGTCATTCCAAGCCTTTTTATGGAGAAAATGTACCGTTTACCGTACCAAGGTTTGCCTAGGTGGAGACTAACTCCGGCTATATCAAAATTGATTACAAGATTTAAAATGCTATTCTTGTTAATCAATAGATAAGGATTACTACTCTCTCCATTTTCTATTGATCTAATCTACGTAAATTAAACTTCAGAGTTTTTATTTAATTAATTATAATTGTTTAGGTATTTATTGGAAAAAAATATTATATGAAATAATGTAATAGTTTAAGTTTATAATAATACTTAAATAAAACAATAAGTAAATAATGTTACAATTATGTTATTGTAATATTATAGTCTACAAAAAAGACAGGAAGAAGAAAAGCAAAGAGGTTCGGAGCGGCTTAAAAGTGTACCGAAAATTATATAATAATGATAATGGCTCATTAATACATTTTACGAGTTTGTAGTGAACTTTGGACACTATTCATCAGAGGTCAAGCTGTCAAGCTTACACGTTTTGTAATTCGACATCGAATTATTATACATAATTGAAAGGCTTCCCTCCTTTTCTGTATTGTTTATTTCTCTACATTTTTAATTCAACCTTACATAATTGGCCCATGTACAATCATTAAATTTAAAAAAAAATAGTAGTACAGATTTAGCTTAATTTCACATAATAATAATAATAATAATAATAATAATAATAATAATAATAATAATAATATTAATATTTTTGTCGTCTTATGTTAGTAAAATATCAAATTCATTTTTTTTAAAATGTTATGCTATACTTTAATAACATTGACGGTAATAAAACCTACAGTTTCATAATTACAGCAAATAGTTAAATACCAACTTTAGAAAGCGTGCAAAATACAATATTTCAATGAAATAGATTTTCGATAATTCAGCATTATTATCGCCTCGTTTGAGGATAGGCCTAATACCATATTGAGGAAATAATAAAATCATTTTATATGGAAATGGAAATAAACTATACTGTGCAATGCAATCAAAAGACATTATGATTACTATGACGACTAGTACACATTGAAAATTAGTTATGATACATCAGACGTAACAGTTGCTGTTGATTGTTATATATATTCTACCAGACGTTTATCAGCATATTAAGTTTAAAAGTACTGTATCTAAATGATTTGTCATTCATTTGAGGGTTTTCATTGAACTTAAGTGACAGACACAATGTACTAATACTTACTTTTCTCTTCCTTATTTAAACTGTTAAAACATTTACCAATTGGAGACAAACTTGTGGTAAGTAGGTCCACTTCGGGACGTCTTATTGAAACATGCATAGGCCTATTGCCAGTAAAAATGTATAGATTTTACATCACCAAATAAATAGGCTATTCTTATTAATATGAAAGTACACTGTAATCACATTGGTCAATTAAATGTTGAAGAGTTACACTACTGTAACTCCTTTGTCTTATAATATATATTTACCCCTTATTAATTTTTTTTTTCTCTTTTGTGGGAGTCAAACCCTCATTTATTTCAAGCACATAATATTTCTTCAACTTTCCATTTCACAATAAAGATCATACAACAGTATATTAATAATAACATTTAAATTAGGCACCTATAAACATTTAATATTGCAAAATACAAACATTGCAGTTACCAATGTAAACAATAAGATAAAATTGGAAATGGCTTATACGATGTTTTCGTTCTCTCCTTTACATTATACTGTATATATACTCTTATTATTAATTGAATAATTTACAACTTAGATAATAGAGCAATAAATAAAAATAAAATCATTTAATAATACTGTACACACGAGTTTGTATCTAAAATCTATTAGGATTAAAAAGTATAGAACTTATATAAATAAAATTTAGTTATGTACTTATATACTTAGAATTCAAATTCATTTCTTTACATTATATATATATTAGGAGCTTAGAAGTATCCATAGGGGGAAACTAAAACAATGAAGTGGTTAAAAACAGTACCATAAGGCGAAAGTAGTGTCGCTAAGGGGAAACTAAAGCGAC